GTGATTGGGCGGTTTGGACTCGACATTTTGCCAACAAAGAAAGTTTCAAAGATCGTTGTTGGGGGTGTTGTATGTGGTGAGTGTGGTTTGCTTTCCTGGGAGAGAGTGATTGCTTGCCCGGTTGGAGTATGAAAGTCGAGTTGAGAAATCGCAAGATTTGCTCAGGATTGCTTGCTCAGCTGTAGATGAGCTGTAGATGCCCTTTGCCCTCGGTGGGATTCCACGGCCTTAAATATTTCACACTTGAACAATGGCTGCATTTCTGCCTGATCCCTCGATGATTAGATCAGTCTGTAGACTTCAGGCACCTTGCGGTAGAATAAAAAAGACTGTGAATCAACAAGAAATATTCATAGTGAAAGTTCGCCTCCATCAGAGACAAAGATGAGTTGAGTGACAGGAATACTTTTGCTCACAATCATCCCATTGGAAATTAAACCAAGGACTGATATAAGAAAATCTCTTTGTTCGCAACTGTTCACGATTCTGACCAATTTTTTGTCTTTCAGCTTTGGGACCTTGAAGCTTCCATGCCTCTCAACTAAGGCTTATGTTGAAGATATTATCAACGATTGGGCTATCGCATGTTTGACAAGTTATCGATGATACAGACTGTTCTATCAGCACACTCGAAAACCGCCGTCTGAGAGCCGGTGTCCGCTCAATCAATCTTACATAGATTCACTGCCGACTTGGCTACATTATCATCTTTTATCCTTGTTCTTCAAGATCAACTCAGTTGTTAAATACAAATGGAAATTGTATACAAGCTGTCCATGCATGGTTCTTCTATTGTTAGAAAACTACTTAGTCTTTTGTTAAAATTCCCCATATTCCAGAAGAAGGAAGTTGATAGACACAACTTAGCAACAATATAGTTGCCCGTTGTTACCACTATCATTTCCAACCAAAACTTAATGGATCACCTACTCTATGCTTGTCCGGAACTCCCTCTCTTCTTGCGTCCCCGTCCGGGTTTGTAAATGATGTTGGGGACGAGCGGCTTACTATTTCAGCGAGACATGAAAGGTTGTGGAGAGTTTATAACTTCATGTTGAAAGAAGGACCAATCAAGAACAGCTAGGTAGTATTCTTTGAGTAACTTTCCTCGTGTCACTCTTAGGGAGAGTTTTCTCTTCCAGTTACGCAAAATACCCAAAAATGAGAGGCTTGTTGTTGAGGTCAAAGTTGTCAAGTCTTCTCATTCCATTACGGCTTTAGAACAGCCCAGGCTTGGGGGTGACATTACCGCCACAGTTGCGGTGAGGCTCCATCCCATAAGTGTCGAGATCTGAGGCCAGGCTCCAGAAAGGGTTCAAGAACGTGCTTGCGGCGGTCAACGTGATTCATGGCTCAAATTGGACTGCCCCTCTTTGAGGGGTTTTCTCCCTCTGGCTCCCTTGAACGGTTTTGTCTCTTAATATTGATAATTATTATTATTACCCCTAGACGAGGATCGGAGCATTGGTCTCATTTCTCTTCTTTTTCCATGGTGGGGCCGCAGTGGTAGTGGCGTGTCGGAGCTCTGGACACACGCTACAGCGCAAAGGCTAAGTTATTATGGCGCCGAGCAGCGCTGTGGGACCCGGGAGAGCCCCAACCCACCTCTGCCCCTCCGTTAATTCCCTTGGCTGGAGCGCTGGGCGTCGCTACAGGTGCCCGTGCTAGGGATGTACTGTAGCACAAAACCTGACCCCACCACCATCGAGCCACCAGCCGCAACCCTGCTGGTGGCTCCAGAGACCTATCACAGGCCAGAGATTATACCACGAGGCACCACTGTTCGCTTCTCACGAGGGCAGAGCAGCCAGGGTTGGGGCACCAAAAGACCCTTGGTCACTTGGAACATTTCCAGTTCCTACCTAGATACCCAGATAGCGGCATGATATCAGGGCAGTGTCACGAGACAACCAACTGTCTTGATTCGCCCAGCTTCTGGCTCTGCGTTGGTTGGTGGCAGCAACGTAGTATCCTGGGAGAGATAAACAGGGCTCGACCAACCGAGACAACCCACAGCTTACCGGCAGGGTGGTTGGGCTGTCCTCCATGTCATGGAGGCATGTCATGTCCACGGCCGGGGCACGGAGTCGACGAGCTGGAGACTCGGTCGGGAACTTTAGTGGCTGCGCCGCCCGAAGAGCGTAAAGGACTGGTTGAATTACCACGAGGGAAGGAAGAAGCACGATCGGGCCTTCTCGTTCGCTGGCCGCAGCCACGCTTGCGCTTAGTCGCGGAAAAGCGCCGGCACCTAGTCGTAGTGGCGGGCTCAAAACTCATGTCTGCCTGCTTCGCATAAGCTAGTAAGGTCCATAATCGCCTACATGATCCTGCTTGGCGACGCCCCAGTCCAGCTCCAGAAGCAGTTAAAATGATGGCCCGCGAGACCAATCATGGCCCTTCGTTTTTTCTCCCACCCGTTCTCTTTAGGTAAATGACGGCACATGTTCATGGACAGCCTTGACGAACCAAACATCCCCCCCCCCCTTCCACCTCCACTGCTTGCTTCAAATAAAGACAGGCTTCCCCCCTCTTTGTTGTCATTCATTCTTGTCGCCTCTCCTTCTCATTGCTTCCTTCTCACGAGCTCTCCTTGGCATTGCTCTCTGCCATTTTTCTTCCCTACAAAGGGTCCTCCTCCTGAAGCTCAATTGACAATACAACCAGCCAGCCTCTGAAGCGACGCCAATCCAATTGCACCGCCATCGCAAGTCTACACTGGATCTCTCCGACACATCTCACCCGCTCATCTAGACCTCAAATAGACTACACATATATGGAGTAGATTGGGCGTGATTCTCACTCGCGCGCATTGACCATGGCTTCCACGAGTGACCCTACTGCCGATTCCAAGTCCGTCGAGGCGCAAATCAAGAGCCACGATGGCGAGGACAATGGTGCCAATGCAGGCATCGACGGGCCCCAGGATGTGAGAAATGCTGAAGGCGCATCCCTTAACGGATCCGATGTGCTTGCGCTGCAGGACGTTGACCCCGCCATGAACATGAAGATGCATCTTGTGAATAACGTAAGTGGTTTGCTCGCGGCGTGAAAGCCTTGTGTGTTTTGTTTTGCTTTGCGTGACCCAGATGAACATGCCATCTGCCGGCTCTCTCCTCTCCCGATGCCACTCCTTGCCGTTGCCCTGTTGCCAGTGCTGACCACGATTCCTTGCTCTTCTCAAAGGCCATTGACGAGATTGGTTGGACTCCTTACCATATGAAGCTGTTTTTCCTCAATGGTTTTGGCTATGCTGTCGACTCCATGATCACCCTCTTCCAGTCCATTGTCGCTGGCCAATCCTTTAAGGAGTTTGGAGGTGTTGGTTTCGCCAATGGACTCACAATCGCCGTGTACGTTGGGATGCTTTTCGGTGCCATTTTCTGGGGCTTTGGTGCCGACATCATCGGCCGCAAGTACGCCTTCAACTGCTCTCTCTTCATCTGCTCCATCAGCTGCATCATTGCTGGTGGCATGCCTAACTGGCCCGCCCTCGGCGTCTTCGTCGCCCTGCTTGGTTTCGGAGGCGGTGGCAACCTTGTTCTGGACACAACTGTCTTCCTTGAGTTCCTTCCCAGCCATAAGCAATGGCTCGTAACTCTGATGGCCTGTTGGTGGGGTGTTGGACAGGCCATTGCCGGTTTCATCGCCTGGGGCTTCATGGTCCCCGAGAAGTGGAACTGCGCCGACATCGAGACATGCACCAAGGAGAACAACTGGGGCTGGCGCTACGTGCTCTTCACCGGTGGCTCCATTGTTTTTGTCTTGTCCATCCTCCGTATCACCATTGTACGCCTCATGGAGACGCCCAAGTACCTTCTTGGCATGGGCAAGGATGCCGAAGTTGTTGAGACTCTACAGACTATCGCTACAAAGTACAACAAGCCCTGCTCTCTCACTCTTGAGCAGCTTGAGGCTTGCGGCACTGCCACCTCGGCACACAGCAAGAGCAAGTACTCAGTTGGCGAGTTGATGATTCACATGCGTGGCCTCTTCAGCACCAAGAAGATGACGCTTTCCACTCTCTTGATCTGGCTCTCCTGGACGCTCATCGGATTGGCCTATCCCCTGTACCTGGTCTTCCTTCCGTAAGTATTGGCTCTCTGTACTTAGACCAGCCTCGACCCAAACCTCTAACATGGATTCCAATGTAGACAATATCTCGCGAACCGAGGCACCTCGTTCGACCGCACTCCCTACGAGAACTGGCGCAACTATGCCCTGAACAACACCAGCAGTATCTTTGGTCCTCTCGCCGGAGCTTTCATGTGCAACACCAAGCTCCTCGGCCGCAAGTACACCATGGCTATCGGCTCCCTGTTGACCATGGCTTTCTTCTTCGCCTATACTGCTGTGAGGACTAACGCTCAAGACATTGCTTTCAATTGCTTGATCTCGTTCTGTCTCAACATATACTATGGTACTCTGTATGCGTACACCCCAGAGGTTCTTCCCAGCGCCCATCGTGCTACTGGCAACGGCATCTCCGTCTCATTCAACAGAATCATGGGTATCATCTCTGCCGTTGTGGCTGCTAAGGCTGATACCTCGACGGACGCACCCCTTTACATCTGCGCCTCACTCTACATTGTCGCCGCCATTGTTGCAGTGCTGTTCCCCTATGAGCCATATGGCAGGCGAAGCTCGTAAAATGCGCAAGTTCGACATACAACACTAGAAAGACGTCGGACCAACGCTTCAACAGCCAGGTTCTCGCATTAATGCATACAATATTAGCATACCCAAGAAGGAGTTAAGTTGAAGGCATGCTTTCTATTCTCTGTAATAGATGTAGAACAAATGATACCCCTTAAGTTTGGAAAAAAAGGAAAAGAGAGATAATCATGGATAATGAAAGCGAATAATAAGCGTAGCAATATAAGCTATTCAACACGCAACTATGAACTAGCCAAACCCTCTTGCAATAAGCAACCGGAGCAAGTCAGAACAATGTCATATATTGCACGCTGAGAGAATGAAATGAAGCTCCAGTGTCCATCGTATCAGTACAAGGCCCATCCTCCACTCGCAGAAATACACTGTCCGGTCACCCATCTGCTCTCCTCCGACGCCAACCAGGCCACAATCTGTGCAACATCATCCACCGTGCCAAGCCGGTTCTGTATCGGCGTCTGCGCCAGCTGCATCTCGATAATCTCCCGGGGTATGTTGTCCAGCATCTCGCTCTGCACAGGGCCCGGGTTGACCGAGTTCACAGTGTGGCCGTCGCCGCCCAGCTCGGCCGCCCAGCAGCGGGTCATGCCCTCGAGGGCCGCCTTGGAGGAGCAGTAGAGGGAGAGGCTCTTCATGCCCGAGCGGCTGCCGACCGATGAGATGTTGATGATGCGGCCGGGCGCGCGCAGATGCGGCTTCACGGCCTGGAGCAGGAGGAGGGGCGCGCGGACGTTGAGGTGGTAGACGAAGTCGAAGTCGTCCGTGGTGATGTCCTGGAAGGGCTTGACCACCTCGGCGCCGGCGTTGTTGACGACGATGTCAATGGCGTGGCCGAACGCCTCCAGCGAGCTCTGGACAATCTGGGCGGCGCTGTCGGGGGACCGCAGGTCCGCCCTGACGTGGATGCATTCCGACCCGTTGCCCAGAGCTGCGATCTTCTCGGCCAGGGCCGTCACATGCTGGTCGCTCTTGGGAGATGTGTAAGTCGCGACGATCTGTGTAAATGATCAGTCATCGTAATTCAAAGCAGGATCTAGTCGATATCGAGCTTTCATCCTTCTTGCCTCCTCCATGTGTAGAATCTTGCTGCTCACCTTGGCTCCTCTCTTGGCTAATTCATAAGCGAAGCCCTCACCAAGGCCCCGTGATGCACCCGTGACTATGGCAACTTTGCCCTTCAACGTCTGAGGGATCTCTGTCTTGGATGTGGCCATTATATAATACTTGAAAGTTTATATGGATAGAGGAAAGTTGTAACAATTCAATTGATTATCTGACTTGTTGCTTAAGTAGATGTGTCGTATCAGAGGAGCGACTGACAGCTCGGATTATTTTACCTCATTCACGTCATGGCAGATCAAGACTTTGCCCGCGCGCGCGGTTGCTCCACTCTTTGATTGCAGATCCATGAATTCAGGTTCTTAACTTCTTCTTAAGTCCATTGACTCCGTCCGTCTCTTCCTGATAGGTCTCATTATCTCCGTTGTGGTACAATGATGGTAGTTGGTCATTCAGTCCCAGTTTGCCAATCTTAAACACCAACCAAAGTGCGTGTGTTTTTCGCGCAGAGATCATCACAAGGGTCTGAGACAGCTCTGTCGCTGCTTACTCTGAGATTAGCTGACGAGCTGGATAGCTTATTTCCATGAGGCTCCCAGATCGGGTGCGCTTCCGACAGATACAACGACAAGGGTTCATCTGAAATCAGTAAAGAAATGAGCAGCAAACAAGATGAGTGAGAGAGTATGAGATGACTAATCAATTCCGAGTAGACCCTGGCTCCTTGAACATCATAGAGTTGAACTAGGAGAGCAACCTACCTACCATCTCTTCACTTTGTCAAGTTATACATGTTTGATGAAGCGGCCGTGACAAAATGGCATCAATAGTGCCTCGCCAGTCGGTCTGCCGAAGATGTCTTCGGCTGGCCAGGCCGCCAAGGAGTTACCAAAACCGCAACTACACATCATCGGGTCCTCGGGAACAGACAGTAGAATCACAAGATGGGGGAAAAGACGTCTCACAGTCTTCAAACCTCCCTACAGAGGATCCCAAATCTTCCTCCGTTTCCTCATCAGAGCCGGGCGCCATGACACGTCGCCTACAGGAAGCCACCGAGGATGCGCTCCTCACGGGCGGTCGCACCAGCCAGAAGCTAGTAGAGGACGCCGGGTTCTCAGATGAGCTCAAGGAGAAGCTCTTCAACAAGGTCAAGGAGGCCCAGTTCAGGAAACGGTTCTCGTCGGCGTTCGCGGAGGCAGGGATCTCGTCATCATCGGCCGTGGGCGAGGGCACGCACCACATCGCCACAGCAGCCCCCTGGACCGGCAAGGAGACCACGCACGACGCAGTCCTCCGCATGCTGGACGACTCGAGGAAGCCGCTCAAGCCCGAGCTCCGGGGCAAGTTCCAGACCCCCGTGCCCGTCGACATGCGCATCAAGAGGGACCCCGCGATGAGCGCCTCGCGCCGCGTGGCCAGCGCACGCGACAAGGCGAGCGCCTACGCGGGGGCCGAAGCCAAGGCCTCCGCCGCGTCGGGGAAGGGCCTCACGCCGGAGGAGAGGGAGGAGCTCAGGCGGGAGTTCAGGGAGCGATTCCAGCCCGGGGCGCGGGCGATGCCCAACTCCATCACCGGGCTCGCCGCGCTGGCCAACGAGCGCATCGAGGACGCCATCGCCAGGGGCCAGTTCAAGGACATCCCCCGCGGTAAAGGCGTGCAGAGGGACACGAGGGCGGACAACCCGTTCATCGACACGACCGAGTACATCATGAACAAGATGATCCAGCGGCAGGACATCGTGCCCCCCTGGATCGAGAAGCAGCAGGACCTCGCCAAGGCAGCGCACACCTTCCGCACCCGGCTGCGTAATGACTGGAAGCGCCACGCCGCCAGGATGATCGCCGCCAAAGGTGGCTCGTTGCTGGAGCAGATGCAGCGGGCCGAGGACTACTCTCAGGCAGAGAGGAGACACAACCCGCGCTTCCGCAAAGTGGAAGAGACCTCCATCCCCCCTGGAATGACTGAAGACCCCGTCATGGTTGAGGTGAGGAAACCGCCACAATCAGCAGCAGCAAGCTCTGCTGATGATGTGGCGGGGCCGCCGTCAGCTGGGCTCGAGGATAAGAAGCCCCGGCCGCTGCTGCCACCATTCAGAGACCCCGACTGGGAAGCTGCAGAGCGAACTTATATGGAGTTGTCCATTGATAATCTCAACAGCATTACACGGACCTACAACTTGATGGCACCTGACCTTGCGAAGAAGCCGTACTTTTCCCTGCAGAGGGAACTATTGGGCGCCTTTGCAGAGGTGGCGCCACAGCTGGCAAACGAGATCAAAGAGAGGGCCACACGGTCGAAATCTCCCGGTCTTGGGGGTGGACGACCTCAGACAGCAGCGGCGGGCATATTTGAGAATTTCGGTGGTGGCAGCAGTCCCCGCATTCGTCTCGAAGCCGAGGAGAAGGCATATGGCCTCAAAGATTGGTGGAGAGATGTGTGGAAAAAATAATAAACGCCTTTGGGGACGACTCTAGGCTCGCTGTAAACCAAAATAAAGTAACGCCAAAAGTTAGGTACAGAATAGTGTCTTGTGCCCTCCAACCCAGAACTCCATGCGCTCCCTTTCGTCTCTCCCCCATGGTGGTATCACATATCATTTATCATTAAAATAGGGGGTAAAGGTTGGGTTTCTTCCTTCAGAAGCCAGCGTCTAGCTCTGTATCTGGCCCGACCAGGACTTGCAATCGACTCTCGTCGCCCGTCCTACTGCTAAGCCAATACCACTGTTAGCCCCGAACATGGCGTCCGATGCACCAGAATCTGTGCACAAGTTGAAGTCAACTTGGGTGTCCCACGAGTTGAGGTCAGTAAGGCTCGTTTGGCGGCAAACGCTCCCAGGGGTTGCTGGGCAGAGGTCGTTGACAATAACGGTGATGTTGTTTTTCAATTCGTTGCCAGAAGCATCTCGGAATGTCTCGAGAAACCAGCAGGTGCCGCATGCCGGGCCCTTGCCCTTACCGGGGCCAGTGCCGTACAGATTCTGAGATACGCCGGCAGCATAGCCAGGCTGGTAGAAAATGGATTGTTAGCTTACTCTGATTATCCTTCAACCTCACATTGAGAGAGAGCGGTGCGAATTACCTTGCTATAAAAGCCACAACCATTCAGCGCCACATTGCAGTTGCTACCACCAGTTCCGTCGTTTGTCCCGTATCGCGTGAAGCTTGCGTTGTACGACCTGCCGACATCAAAGGCAGTTGATTCGGGGATCGCAACACTTTCGAGTGTCTTAGTAGCAGGCGACACCGAGGCTGTGGTTGTGACGCTGCCAGTCTGTATCGTTGTTACAGTCATTGAGCTTGCTGTTGCTAATGCTGCTGATGTAGTTGCTGCTCCGTCTGCGCCGGCGTTATTGCTGCCCTTATTCGCGGCCCTTGAACCCAAGACCGCTCCGAGAATCACGGCGAGAATGATAAGGATAGCGCCGATGACGAGTAAAATCCTCACGTTCCAACTTTTCTTCCAGTCCGTGCCAGGTGTGGGAGGTAATGGCGCTTCCTCTCGTCCCACCACGATCTTTCCCTCGCCATCTCCTCCTCGGGAAGCGTAGTAGCCGCCATCAGCGAACTTGGCAGGCTTGTGAGACACCTCCAAGTCTTCCGAAGGCTTGACCTCTGGGAAGTCGTCGGAGCGATAATATGAAGTTGACGACGGTGGTTCCCGGTTGATGGGCGTGCCTAGATAGTGCGCGTCTGGGGAAGCATAGACCTCTTTAAGAGTGTCCTGGTCATGGAAGGGCGATGTACCCAATGTGTCCGCTTGCGACACAGACGAAGGGGAGACGGGATGCATGGCGGCCGACTATTAGTTGCTGTCGTACTGGCGTCAAGTTTATTCCACCTTCCTTTCGTTTTCGATATCAAGGAGAAACCAGATTCAGAGCTTCCACGCGATTGAAACTATCAGGCTCTTGGGATCGACATACATGTAGGAGAGAGAAAACGAACCCCAATGTATAAGTAAGGCGAAGTGGAAAGGAAAGCTGGGCACGACGTCCAAAAGTAGAGACTGAGACAAACCAAGGAGGAAGCCAGGCCAGGGGGGTGGTGTCAAGGTCAAGGTGGGGGAGAGGAGCGGGCTAGAGCGTGGGAGGAATCCTTCCTGGCCTCGGAATTGCGGCGATCAGCTACCAATCGTGGGAGATGAAGGTCACAGCTGAAGTTCGATGGTTTGAGGCTTGTCACAGATTGGTCCTTGGGCCTTCGCCTTTGGCCCATGTCTCAAGGGCTATGTCATGGTGATGTTGCATTGCTAGTCTAGGAGGTTTCAGCACCCAGAAGATGGTGCTGTAGTCACGGTAAGGCTACAGCTACACGAACGGCGAGAAACAGACGAGCGGGCTGGCGAGGCACGATCGCTTGTTTGCCAGTTCAGCTCGGCTAGAGAACTCCGTGGTAGTGCAGTTCACATGCAGCTTGAGTATCCTTTGCTGGTTTGAGATGGATCCAGGCAGGGGGGCCCAGCTGGCGGCACCGAGCTGGGTGTCGACCGAGCATAGTGGAGCGGCTAGGATGCAAATCATGCTCACTTGGTCGCTTGGATTGGCTCAAGCGCTTAATTGAACAAGTGAGGGGAGAGGAATGGCCTCTTTGCAGACATCTTCATCCATCGGATGTCCGGCAAGGCCACCTTGGGGACAACGGATGGCGTAGATGAAGACATGAGGTAAGAGCATTGAATGTACCTACCTCGGGCAACATGCCAAATGCGCCCAAAGAGCATGCCGTCTCCTGCCAAGGAAACCGCTATAAGTCTCCCTTAGTAATAAAGAGGGAAAACGGCCAAATCCTAGTGGAGCCCGGTTCCCAAAATAGCTGGGTCATTCATTTCCTGCAGCTGGTATGGTATGGGTACTTGTGTAGAGCCGAGCTGCTGCTGCTTCCATGCCTGTCAATTGTTATCGGCCAGACCAGCCGGGAGAACCAAGCGACTGTTTGAGAAGGACTCGCGCCCGGTTAGGTAGGTAATTTGTGGCAGCGGTTAATGGGGGGTGCAATACTCGTGCAGGATTCATCTGCTGAATACGGCAGTGGCCGAAGGAGTGGTCAAAATACGAGAAAAATGGCCCGGCAGGTCTAGTTGCCGATCTGAAACACAAGTACATCATGGATGTCTAATCGAGGATAAAAACAGCAGATAGCGGACGCCACAGCGGGCATGTATCGATACCACCACCAGGGCCATCACCTCACACACCTTCAGCAACGGGTACTTGAAGTAGGTACCTAGTCGCTTCTGTGCCAATCAGTCTGTAACTCGGCAGCCGATCTAGCCCAAAGGTCGCGGCGAACCTGGTGCAGCGGGAGGCTTCCGGGACCTTTATTAGTAAAATGCCAGTTCCACAGTCCAGACGTTTAATTGGGAAGGTCCTCGTCCATGGAAGCCTATTTATTTCATACACAGTACAGAGCACAGACTGCTCGCCGCCGGCTTCTCGGGTCCGTTAACATGAAGACCTTCTATTCAGGGCTAGAATCCCACTAATTTGCTGTACGCGCATAATGGCCTAGAAGGGGAACCGGCTACCATACCTAATTACTTAAACAAATGGTTCGATGGCTGTATTACATGATAATATTCCAAGGACCATCCCCAAGGCTCTTTCATCTCAGCAGCGCTCGTGTCCAGGATGGGGAGCAGCCGAAGAACAACATTTCAGCAACATTCTCCGTGCAGCCCGACCTACCCTGTACCGGCCCATGATATCGGCCGGCCGAGTACTCCGCTTTTCTCCCCGACCATCGGATAAATATTCGAGGCCAGACGCCACCAACCCAGAGATAACAGATTGAGTTTTTGTTCTATCTCTAGGGATCATGTCCAATTCGAAATGTTTCCTTTTTCGGCTGCTGCCAGGCAGGACGATGTCTATCAAAACCAACCTCCTCCTATCGAGTGTGCTAATTTATCTGGCACTTGACCCAGGTTAGCAGGTACTATCATGGTGCTAGGCCACTATCCCGAAGCGGTTGGCTGCTAATTAGTTGGGGTTGAGCCTAACTACGGTACCTAAGAACTTGGTCCTGTCATGCGCCTGTCAGAAGCACATTCATCTGCCGACGGACCTGCCGACACACCGTTAGAACTTCCAAGAACTTGGCGGCAGTCTTCTAGCACCGGCTTCTACCTACCTTAAATACTTGAGTATCGCCTCTGGCTATCCTTCGCTCCCCGCATAGCGTTGCAACCTGTCGTTGCTCGGCTGTTCTGTCAGCGAGCGGCTCAAACTTGCATCCAAACACCCCGGTACGTCCATCAGCAATGGCACTCATCCCATCATGACATGGGGACGAGATCGGTGGGCCATTGGCCATTGGCATGCATCACATTGCACCACCACATGATGCTCCTCACAGCGTAGACAGTAGCAATGGAGTGATATGCGGTCGGTCCCTTGACGCAACCCAGTCCCCGGATTCACACCATTCCATCCAATTCACCTCAATTCAAGCCAATCCCCAGGCGGAACTTGTGCTGGCCTGTCCTCGTCCTTGCGGGGTGAATGATTGCAACCCCATACAATTCCCCTCCTCCGCATTTCCCTCTTGAAGTCCCGTTTTTACCAATCTTGTCCCAATTTTATTTTTTTCCCAGTGAATTTTTCTCTCCCACTCTCTCATTCTCTCGCTCTCCGAGACAATTGAGCACGCGACATTCCATCTGCGTACCTCCTGCGTCTTCCGTAATATCTGGCGGTCCCATTGTGATACATCGCACCCGCCACTCGCTCACCGACATCCGGTTTGTGCCTTGCAATGTCGGAAAAAGCAAAACTGGCCAGTGGCGTCGACTCGGCGCCCGCTGATGCCACCCCCAACATCACCGCCGCCGCCGATGACCATGACCACCATGAGACATCCAAAACGCATGAGCATGTTGTTCAAGGCGCCCGTGCCGCTGCCGAGAAGGAGCACTCCATGACCCTATTGCAGGGAGTCAAGCTCTACCCAAAGGCCATCTTTTTTAGTGTCGTTATCTCGACCTGCATCGTGATGGAGGGTTATGATGTCTGTCTGATAAACAACTTCTGTATGCCGCCCTACTACCCCGTGCTTTTTTAATTCCCGATCTCTGAGATCTCTGGTCGTTTCCGTCTGCTTCTCTGCTGGTACATGTGATGTCAGCGGGTTGAGAATGAAAGACACTGATCCTACACACCTGAGACCCCCACCCACACTCAGACAATGTACATGCATATACATGCACACATATGCGCACTTTGATATGATTGGAGACTGACAATATATCCACATTCTAATAGACGCTTTCTCTCAGTTCAATCGCAAGTACGGAGTTCAACTCGCAGATGGTTCCTGGGAAATCCCGGCTGCATGGCAAGCGGGATTGAGCAACGTGAGTTCTTGATATCCAATGATTTAGCACAAGCTAGCATCAAATTCCCCCCCTGTGCTTTCTTTTCCCTTCGTCTTGAGAATCCGAATTGCTGAAACCTCGCTTGCGGATATACAGGGTGCATATTGTGGTGAAATCATCGGTTTATTCATCAATGGCTACGTCTCTGAGCGATTTGGGTATCGCTACACCCTACTCGTCTGCTTGGTATTTCTCTCTGGTTTCATCACCCTCTTCTTCGTGGCCCAAAATGTCCAGACGCTTCTCGCTGCCGAAATTCTCTGTGGCATTCCCTGGGGTATCTTCCAGACAATCACCATTACCTACGCCTCAGAAGTCTGCCCCGTTGCTCTTCGTGGTTACCTCACCACGTACATCAATTTCTGCTGGGGAATGGGTCAGTTGATTGGTATCGCAGTCATCTTCTCCATGCTTGACCGCCAAGACGAGTGGGCTTATCGAATCCCATATGGCCTTCAATGGATGTGGCCTGTCCCTCTGTTCATCGGCATCTACTTTGCGCCCGAGTCCCCTTGGTGGCTGGTCCGCAAGGGCCGGATCGAGGAAGCCAAAAAATCTCTGTTGCGCTTGACCAGCAAGAACCGAGAGACTGACTTTGACGAGAACGAGACTGTGGCTATGATGATCCACACTACAGCGTTGGAGGAAAAGCTCACTGCTGGGGCATCTTACCTCGACTGTTTTAAGGGTATTGATCTTCGGCGTACAGAGATTGTGTGCATGGTCTGGGCCATGCAAAATCTTAGCGGGAACGTGTTTTCCAACTACTCTACCTACTTCCTTAAGCAGGCCGGATTGTCAGAATACAATTCGTACGCCTTCGCCATGGGCCAATATGCAATCAACATGGTCGGTACGTTTGGCGCCTGGACTCTCATGTCTTTCGGCATTGGTCGTCGGTCTCTCTATCTGTACGGTCTTTGTGGGCTGTGCTCGATGCTCTTGATCCTTGGATTCCTTGGTCTCGTTCCAGAGTCCAACCGGGACAAGGGTGCATTGGCCACGGGAAGTATCATGGTTGGCTGGGCCTTGATTTACCAGCTGACAGTCGGCACCATTGCCTATTCTCTTGTGGCCGAGCTATCGTCTCGTCGCCTCCAGATCAAGACTGTTGTGTTGGGCCGAAATCTCTAGTAAGTCACGGCTCCCTACCCTTCATCGTATACATTATTTGGCCGTCTCTAACTTTGTGTTTAGCAATGTTGTCGGTATAATCACGGGTGTCTTCACTCCCTACATGCTCAACCCCGATGCGTGGAACTGGTCCAATTACGTTGGTTTCTTTTGGGTAAGTCCACATAACCAATTCCTTGTTTTGTTCTTCCCGTATCTTGGGGGCAGCCACTTGTTACTTGCTAGAATCAATGCTAACTCTTGGTTCAATATAGGGTGGCCTGTGCTTTTGCTGCATCGTTTACACTTTCTTCCGCCTACCAGAGCCACGCGATCGAACATTTGCAGAGTTGGATGTTTTGTTTGAGAAGAAGGTCCCAGCCCGCCAATTCAACAAGACGAAGGTCGATGTCTTCCATGAGAGCGTCGAAGATGACATCATCAATCAATATGAGCAGGTCGATCGACCGGGTGCCGCGAAGCCCGAGCTGGCAGCCTAAGCTGAGACTTACCATTGATCATAGCCCGTCATATCCTGTACATAGGTGCATTTAGAGCATGAGCGAACGTGCATATACCTCATCAGATGCTGGTTCGGTTGAAACCTGGCCGGTAATTATTGTCGACGCCATTCACTGGCCTTAATTGATCTTTTTTCCATCCGTCTTCTTGAGTCCGAGATAGTGAATAAGCTTCAAGGTTACAGACGATAGACGTAAGCAATCTTCACCGGTTTCATGCATTCATACCGCAGCCATGTCACTGGAACCCCACCATTGCATGCTGCAATCCTACCCCGCACCTTGCGGGCTTCCCTTCTTGTTATTCGTGTGCGTGCCCTTCGGTGGGTGATCGATCTAGCTTGTGAGGAGGGTTGGGCATACGTAGATTAATATCTAGGGCATGCATCAGTCTGGGGTAATTTCCTGGGGAAAATTTCGGCGTGTCGATAGGGTCGTTCGGGATCCAGTCGGAGTTTTGACTCTAGATGCCGAAAACCCGGAAGAGGTTCGGGGTGGATCTAGGTCTAGGTTAGCCAGCCCTGGTGCCTAGGCGGGATTGCGAAAGACAGGTAAAACACCACATCTCTCGCCGAAACCCCGAGTTCAGCATGGATCTTGGCCGCTCCGCACACAGCTCGTGCTAGCCAATCCCCGGAGTGTTCGGCGAGGACAGTCGGAGAGGAACGAGTGGGTACCTGCTGTGCTGCAAATTAAGATTGATTAGATCCGACGATTCCCGACGACGATGCATATCACGAGACGTAATTCCCCTCTTGTCGGTGTAGGTAAGCGGACAAATACAATGCGTGCCTGACCGCATTGTCCAGGGCGAGGATTGGTGTTATTCATGGCCAATGTTTCGTCACATATGAGGGCTAATTCTGATTGAACGACGTGGCTAGCGTGATCAAAGCTGATGGACCGGCCGGGAGCATGAAGAGTCCGAGAACAGAGGAGCCGGGGCGCGTATCGAGCACGGTTTCGAGAGGCGCTTCGAAGCTCCCAACCCGGTGAAGATGGATACATTCGTGGGGGAATGGCGATGGTGCTAGTATAGCGCATCCGCCCACCCGTTTCGAGGACTGGAGACGCGCCTGGACCAGCTTCCGGTTCCTTTTCTTGCGAGCCCTATTTTTCACGCTTCCCTTGCGCCTTTCTTTGCTTTTCTCCCGCACATGATGATGGAAGCCCCATCAACGGCGGCGCTAACGGAATAGAATGCAGTGGGCGGCGGTGGGCTGTTAGGGGCAATTGCAGCAGGCCGGGCCGGGGGAGGAGGTTACTCAACTTACAGGTGCGGACACGGCCAGCGAGAGCCTGAGATCTCCTCTCAGCCGCCTGTCCATCATCATCATGCACCGGGCTGGCCAGGGTAGCTCTCATCTGCATATCTGCATCCGATTTGGGGTTGCCACCTTCTGGGTCGTTTCTCCCTGTCTCCCCCACAACTTCTGGCCTGGGTGGTTGCCCCCTTCTCTCCTGGCACGTCTGCTCCGTGAGAGGCTCGCTCGCCTATAGGCAGCGACGGTTCCCAGACCTTGATGGAGGTGCGAGTGGTGTTAGATAGCATGTTTTGTGATCGGGAATCAGTTGGATCGGGCTGGACCCGTACGATCTCTGCAGCTCGAACGCATGAGGTCAAGGTGGGTTAATTTCGTTTCCCCCGGAGCCCTGCCAAGCAACAGCGAAAGGGAAGCGCCCTCGAATCCCCAGAGCTCATTGTCGCACCACAATAATTTTTGTCCAGGGACGTAGAAGGAGCTTCCGGTTTGCGACCGGGTACCTGTACTCACGGATGGCTGGTGCGCCCGCGGCAGACGCAAGTACCGCCCGTACCTGCGGCACCGCCTGTAAGCTCCCGCATCAGGCGATCCAGTCTGTGCTCATTGCTCCAGGTTGTGCTTGCCGTTGATGACTGACTGTTGTCCACCTCGTGCATGCAACATCCAGCTCCAGTCCCCACGCGAGAGAGCCAGAGCCCACTCCGACCATTCCCAGACCAGGTAGTGCCTCGCACACATCCATACCGTAAGTTCCATGCGACACACTCTAAGCTCCAACACCGACCGAGGAGTAGTCATTCCAGCTAGTCATAATACCTGCTAAGTACCTACATCAAGAAGCGAACCTCCTCCTCCTCTCCTCGACCTTCTCTCTCCCACTCTCCCCTCCCCTCCATCCACCACCACACAGTCACCATGCTCTCCGCTCTCCGAACCACCGCCGCCCGTCGGGCTTTCCTGCGCCCTGCAGCAGTCACTGCTGTCGCTTCTCGTGGCCTTTCCATCTGGAGCAACGTCCCCCAAGGCCCACCAGTAAGTTGTCGCCTACGCTGAGTCAAGAGGACCCCGATCCCGGAGCTAACATGTCAATTTTGTAGGATGTAAGTTGTTTCCGCCGTTGAGATTGGGATCAATCCTAGGATCCCGGACTCTGTTTCTATCCAATTCGCTTTGTTGCTGACCTCGACGTCTTCTGCCTGTTCCTAGGCCATTCTGGGTATGCTTCCTCCCCTCATCAATTGCTCCCCCTCACTTCAATTGGCATCGAAACTAACATCAATTCGTTCTTAGGTATCACCGAAGCTTTCAAGGCCGACTCCAACCCCAAGAAGATCAACCTCGGTATGCCACGCCCTTCTCACCTATATACTGTCTTGTCTTTGTGTGAAAGTGTTGCGAGAAAGATGGACAACGACAATTGACAATTTGCTCCCAGGTGTTGGTGCCTACCGTGATGACGCTGGCAAGCCCTACGTTCTCCCCTCCGTCGTCCAGGCTGAGGAGCGTCTCCTCTCCAAGGCGCTGAACAAGGAGTACGCCGGCATCACCGGTGTCCCCGAGTTCCCCAAGGCCGCCGTCAAGCTCGCCTACGGTGCCAACTCCCCCGCCCTCGACAGGCTCGCCATTACCCAGACCATCTCCGGAACTGGTGCTCTCCGTGTCGGTGCTGAGTTCCTTCAGCGCTGGTACAGCGGCGAGAAGAAGATCCGCGTCCCCTCCCCTACCTGGGCCAACCACAAGGCTATCTTCAAGGATGCTGGCATCACCTCTGTCGACTACCGCTACTACAACAAGGAGACCATTGGCCTCGACTTCGATGGTCTGGTTGAGGACCTCAAGAACACTCCTCCCGGCAGCACCATCCTGCTCCACGCCTGCGCTCACAACCCCACCGGTGTTGACCCCAGCCAGGACCAGTGGAGGGAGCTCTCCAAGGTCTTCAAGGAGCTCGGCCACGTCCCCTTCTTCGACATGGCCTACCAGGGCTTTGCCAGTGGTGATGCTGACCGTGATGCCTTCGCTGTCCGCCACTTCGTCGAGGAGGGCCACAAGGTCCTCCTCTGCCAGTCTTTCGCCAAGAACATGGTATGTACTAAGACACAAGGCCCCAAATTCGAAGAATGTACGCTAATCAACCTATGTTTTAGGGTCTCTACGGTGAGCGTGCTGGTGTCTTCTCCGTCGTTGGTGCTGATGCCGAGGAGGCGAAGCGCATCGAGTCTCAGCTGAAGATCATCATCCGCCCCATGTACTCCAACCCTCCCATCCACGGAGCTCGCCTCGCCGCTGAGATCCTCAACGATGAGAAGCTCTACAAGCAGTGGCTCGGTGAGGTCAAGGAGATGGCCGACCGCATCATCACCATGCGCACCCTGCTCCGCGGCAAGCTCGAGAAGCTCGGCTCCAAGCACGACTGGTCCCACATCACCAACCAGATCGGCATGTTCGCTTACACTGGCCTGACCCCTGAGGAGGTTGCCAAGATCACCAAGGACCACTCCGTTTACCTGACCAAGGACGGCCGTGTCTCCGTTGCTGGCATCACCAGCTCCAATGTCGACCACCTTGCCCAGGCTATCTTCGCCGTCAAGGGCTAGATGTATAAATCACCTTAAATAATCCACTAGGAAAGGATGGGCTGGACGGAGGCTGCCCCCCCACCTGCCCTTTGTATGACGAACCGAAGAAGAAGAAAAAAGCTAAAACTGATGTGACGAGCCCGTGTGGGATGCATCACCATTTGATATCCAAAATTGAAACATTTAAATCATACTGTCCGTTATACGTGAATATATGTGCTGAGATCTACAATTGAACCGATATGTCACCTGCTATCATTATTCTAGTTGATTTTATTTAGGTTGATATGATTCAGGGGCACAAGGAAACCAATTGAGCCTTGGAACGATTCAGTGTCCTTCCAGAAGCTCTTAGGCCCTTTCAAACCGGTCGAGGTCCCCCTCGGCATCCGCCACCTGCCGCATCATTTCCCGGTACACCCTGGCCATCTCCTTCATCGTCTTCTCCTTGCCCTCCCCGCCGTCAACTCCGACCCCGTACTCGCCCAGCTCCGCCGTCAGCCCCCGCAGTCGCTCCTCCGCACGCACCTTGGCGTCCCGGAGGTGCGATGCGTAGTTCCTCAGGGCGGAGATGGCCTCTGGCGTGTAGATTTCCCGGCGCAGCGCCCAGCGGGCCATCTCGGCGTTGAGCTCGGAGCGCTCGGCTTGCAGGACCGCGGAGGAGGCGCGGAGCTCGAGGCTGCGTGCCACGACGCCGTGTTTCGCCTCGAGGACCCGGAGGAGGAGGTTGAGGGCCGTGGTGTAGTCGTGCAGAAGGGCGGTGAGGGCGGTGAGGGTCAGGATGCGAGCGTTGTGAAGCGAGGCGGTGGAGGAGTCGGAGAGGTTGGTCAGGGTGGTCAGGGTTTGTGAGAGGGAGGCGACATGGCGGTGGAGGTAGGATGGGTTGGTGGAAGGGTAGGCGATGCGGGCCAGGTCGAGAGCTGAGGAGCGGAGGGCGGAGGAGATCAGGTTGGTGAGGTCCGGGAGGAGGGATTCGAGGTTCGAGAGGGGCGGGCTGGAGAGGAGGAGGGAAAGGGAGTCCTGGGGGAGTGGCTCTGCAGAATTGAGAAGAGGGGGTAGGATGAGAAGCAGATCGAGGAGTGGCTCCGGTAGGCTTGGTTTTGGAGCTTGCTGTGGCTGCGCTTGTGCTTGAGGCAGGCCTGAGGGTCTGGCAATCCTGCGGTTGGTAGTGGACGATTTCTCAGGCGGAGAGAGTGTGGCAATGGTCCTGGTGATGAGATGTTGCTTGGCTACCTTGAGGCGGTATGCCTTCAGCTCCTATATCTCGAATTAGCTCGGATTCAAGGAAAGTTGGAACGGTACGATGATATCGTATACGCGTGATTTTGAAATCAGAAGCCTACCTCTTGGACATGCTCTCGCTCCTTCGCTGATGGGTCTTCCTTGGTTGAGCCGTCTGGATTGAGGATGACCTTTGTGAGTTTGTTGTAGAGATTGGCAAAGTCTGGGTTATTGGTTAGAACCGCATCATGTACCGGCGGAAACATGTTGAAAGCTTCATTCAGCCAATATGGTCCAACAATGCTGACGAGAATGGATGCATTCTCAATTGTTATGCTAAAACGCAGTAAATGAAGCACTTGGTAGATCACGAAAGCTACACGGACTCACATGACATAGATTGCTGCAAGGTCGTTGGTGTAGGGTAGCTTCCAAACGTTGGTATCCGGCCCGGCCCGGATCATCACGCTCCCGAGCTAGAGCAACCAATCCTCACAATTTTTGGTCATCCTGGTATCGTCAATAGGTGGGAAGAGGAAAATCGAGCCCCTTCACCGCACCGAGATACTGGCTCCGGGGCTTTTTCACGGTCCAGCTCGATCCTCTGAGCCACCAATCGCACCATGCCACCCTCAAATCCCCTCCAGTCCTTCTCTAGGACCGCTTCTCCATTGACCAGTGGCATGCGGATTCTACGCACCTGCCAGCAGACCTCGTGCGCTTTCAGCACCTCATCGCCCCTCCAGACCAAGACGATCAAGCCCTCCCGCCTCCCCGACAAAGTCATCCCACCCTACCCCTATGGCGAGCGCCAAGTCTACAAGCAATCGAACAGGGGCCTCTACGGTTCCGCCCGCATCCAGTTCGGCAACAACGTCTCGGAGAAGCACAAGGTCAAGACCCAGCGGTTCTGGCGGCCAAACATCCTCGTCAAGAGCTTCTTCTCCCCGGCCATCGGCGCCAACATCAAGACCCGCCTGACCATGCGGGTCCTCAAGACGATCAAGCGCGAGGGCGGCCTGGAGAACTACCTGCTGAAGAGCAAGCCCGCCCGCATAAAGGAGCTCGGCCCCGGTGGCTGGAACCTGCGCTGGCTCCTCATGCAGACCGAGGCTGTGCAGAAGCGCTTCAACGAGGAGAGGGTCGTCCTGGGGCTGGAGCCCAAGGAGATCGAGGACAGGAGCGACCTGATTCAGTACGCCCTGGATTACGCGACGCCCGGCCACCTCAACAGGAGGAGTCGGGAGACTCTGGCGAGGCTACAAGAGCAGGAGATGGAGGAATTCATTCTCGGGATTGAAGATCTGTCCGCGTATGAGGGAGTGGAAGAATTGACCGAGGAGGCCGAGGAAGCTCTGCTCGCTGAGGCTGAGAGCGCTGAGGAGGAGGAGGTAACGACTAAGGCTTAAGGGAGAATAAAACAAAACCCTGTATTTAAACGCATTGTATCATTTGTGATAGTATAGATGTATAACAGAAACATATGATCGGATTTCCAAATATTCGTGATCTCTTTTTCCATTTTTCTTTAGCTCATGTGAGCTAGATGCCTACTGGATATCTGATGCCAAAGAAAGAAACTATGATAAATCGAAAAACCTTTTGCCCTGAACTCCATGAATAAATATCCTCACATCCTCACACACGCTATTTAGAATCTCAGATCCCATCCAATTTGAGGGCCGAGCTTGGGTAGCTCCTCAGCCACGCTCTGGACGTCCTTGTCTCCACGGCCGCTGAGGCAGATGACAACGTCCTCGTCCTTCTTCATCGTTTTGGCGAGCTCGATGGCACCGTAGATACCGTGGGCAGTCTCCAGCGCGGGGATGATACCCTCGAGCTGGCTGATGAGACGGAATCCCTGGAAGGCCTCGGCATCCGTTGCGGCGATGAACTTGGCTCGCTCGTTGTCCTTCCACTGACTGAGCTCGGGCCCGACACCGGGGTAGTCCAGTCCGGCCGAGACGGAGTGGGTGTCCTGAATCTGGCCGTGCTTGTCCTGGAGGACATATGTCCGTACACCGTGCAAGACGCCCTTGGAGCCGCCGGAGAGTGTTGCGCTGTGGCGGTTGGTGTCGACACCATCGCCACCGGCCTCAACACCCAGGAGCTTGACGCTGGGGTCGTTGGAGAAGGGGTAGAACATGCCCACGGCGTTGCTGCCACCTCCGACACAGGCGACGACAGCATCGGGGAGCTTGCCTCGCTTCTCCTGCATCTGCTTCTTGGTCTCCTCGCCGATGATGGACTGGAAAGTACGGACAATGGTGGGGAATGGGTGGGGGCCGATGGCCGATCCGATGATGTAGTGGGTGGTGTCGAGCTCAGTAACCCAGGCACGGAGAGCCTCGTTGACGGCGTCACGAAGGGTCTTGGTACCGGCCTCGACGGCGATGACCTTGGCCCCCAAGAGCCGGATACGGAAGACGTTGAGAGCCTGTCGGCGAACGTCTTCAGCTCCCATGTAAATAGTGCACTCCATGCCAAACTTGGCACAGACAGTGGCAGTAGCGACACCATGCTGTCCAGCACCGGTCTCGGCAATGATCTTGGTCTTCCCCAGTCTTCTGGCCAGCAGGAGCTGCCCAAGAGCGTTGTTGATCTTGTGGCTTCCAGTGTGGTTCAGATCCTCACGCTTGAGCCAGATGTTGGCACCGCCAGCATACTCGGTCAAGCGCTCGGCAAGGTGGAGTCTGCCGGGTCGGCCCATGTAGTCGTAGTACGAGCGGTATTCCTCCCAGAACTTAGCATCGTCCTTGATCTTGTTGAAGCCATCCTCCAGCTCGGAGAGACAGTCCATCAGACTCTCTGGCACGAACTGACCACCGAACTCACCGAAGCGGTCGGGGATCTTGCCATGCAGGGCTGCGAGCTGAGCAACGAGATCCCTATCGGCGGCCGCCAGGTCCTCATCGGTTACGGTTTCGTTGACTGTGACGTTGTCTCCTTGGGGTTCTTTAGCAGCGGCGATGGCTTCTACGATGCCGACCTCACGGGTCTTGCCATCGGGAGAGTCACGGCCGCAAAGGTAGGCGCAGTACTTCTCGACATCGCTGAATCCTTCTCCATCCTTTGCCTTTTGCAGGGTGGTGACGATCTGGCTACCAACAACCACTCCGTCGGCCAGGGAGGCTACGCTGAGGAAGTGGTCGCGAGTGCTGACGCCGAATCCGACGGCAGCAGGCTTGTTTCCGCTGTATTTCTTGACACGCTCGAGGAGGTCAGGCAGATTGGCGTTGAGAGTTCCTGTGGCGCCAGTGACACCCTGCCTGGAGACGACGTAGATGAAAGAATCGGCAAGCTGGCAAAGAATCTTCATTCGAGCGTCTGAGGTCGCGGGAGCGATGAGCGGTACATATGATAGGCTGTGGCGAGTGTTAGATGAGTTCTCTTGCATAAACGGCTGAATTCAACACTCACCCTCCCTTGGAGCAGAGCTTGCGGAAGGACACAGCCTCCTCGGGCGGCAGGTCGACAACAATGAATCCGTTGACACCAGCATCTTGGCAGTCCTTTAGCAGACGCTCCTCGCCGTAGTGCAGGAGCGGGTTGTAGTAGCCCATGAAAATCACGGGGGCCTTGAGGCCTCGGCTCCTGGCTGTCTTGACTATCTCGAGCGAGGACTCGATTGTGACACCATGCTGCAGCGCTACCTGTTTCCCGAGTATTCAATTAGTCGAGGGGATTTCGTGGCATGCTAATGAATCACTCTGGCGAGACGTACAGTGTTGGCGGTCTGAATTGTTGGGCCATCGGCAATTGGATCGGTGAAAGGCACACCGAGCTCAAGAACATCTTAGGTCTGCTGTTAGCTGAAAATTCTCCATGAAAAATAGCGAAAGAATTGCCCATTGCGAGCGTTCCAACATACCGGCACCTCCCCTCTCCAAAGCCAGGAGAATCTCTGGCGTGTCTTCTGGGCGTGGAAAACCGGCGGTAACATATGTGACAAGGGCAGACTGTTCCAATTTGTTAGTTCTCCTTGAATTGTCCACGCCTGCACCGTCGTCGAGGACGAGTGGTGATATGTTGCCCCGCGCTAAGTAGGAGGGGCGTTGGAGGCAGAATTCTGGCTGCCGAGAACGGACTCACTCGATTTTGCGCCTTGCAGGCGGCAAACGTCTGCTTAATGGCCTCCATTGCAGAGTAAAGAGAGAGAGAGAGAGAGAGATCCCGGTTCGATTGACGTGAGGGTTGAGTGAACGCTGGTAACAATAGAACGATCTCGGTGGATTGTGGGCGGCTGGAGGATTTATAAAAACGGTGAGAAGGGCCTGGAACTCTATTGAATCATACACTTCTGACTACGGAGGCAAATGGACCTGCGCTGCTTCCACCTTAAGCTCTGCCGAAGAGCGGCAGCATGCGGCATGCATGAAAGTGGAGCATCTGCACTCCGATCCGGAGTAGCCAAAAGCGGTAATTAGTCAACACAGTTCCGTACTGCGTCTGTCTGCCGCCTGCAGAGTGCGGCCCGCGCTCTTGATGATCATCTGGTAAGCTATGAATAGGAATTCTTCGGAACGGCCTGCGGAATGAATGAAGTGTAGATTGTAATTCATTTATGGCTAGTATCATGCGTCTGCCGCCCTGCAGATTCGCCATCGTGGTGCACGAGTATAAGAAACTCGCCTGCTTACACTCTCGAGAAAAACAAAATGCGTACATGAAGCTCTATTGAAAATGAATGGGAGGGATTCAAATAGGGGGGAAATCCAAAATATAACACCAGACCAAGAAAATTGGGAATTACGCTAATATAGATCCTTAAAAACCATCCGCTGCCACACCACTGTTGTTGCTCCCTGCTCAGAAGGCATTCTCTTTGGAGCTGTAATGGGCACCTCCTTTGACATCGGCACCGTAATGAACGGGACTGTCGGACGTGTCGGACGTGATGCCGTCATCTTGCCAGCGATGCTGATACTGATTCTTCTGTTCCTGTTGATGGTTATGTGAACGACCCTGAGTGTTTTGCGGTTCATCGTCCTCATTGTAGTGTGATTCAACACCTGGTCGGGCCTCGCCACGCATGGCCATGCCTGCGAGGGCTCGTGTCACTCCAATCAAGACGACAATGACATAAGCGAGAAGAATTCCCAGAGAAATAAGTGCTTCCTGAACAATGTTGCGATGCATCCAATCTGTGACCTTTTGTACTGCCCCAGATACCTCATCGGTTGTAACGGAAGAAGGAGATGCAAGGAAGCTGTTCAGATCCGAGTCACCATTGAGAGATTCCTTGGCGCCGAGGCTGAATGTATCATTTGCAAAAAGCGGCAGAGTAATCTTGGAATTGTCATGCACCCATGTGAGGCCCTTCTGGAGGCTCTCAATCTTGAGGCCGATGACACAATGGATAACGGTTTTGATTGGATCAAGAAGAACCGTGCCGTTAAAGACTGTTTGAAGTCCGTCATCCATGGTGTCCATGAATACATTGATGGTCTTATTGACCGCACTTGTAGCATTGGTCACATAGGAAAGAACATCATCATTGATGTCGCTGTTCAACCCCTTGATGATCCCATTGGCGTCCGTTGCCCATCCTTCTGAGACAGAGTTGATGCTTGATACGACGTTATCCGCAAACAAGCCGACCTCTTGGGACAGCGCGGGAACCTCGTTCTTGACGGCTTGAAGCATAATGACTTGGCAGAGGCATGAGAAAAACCCTGCGATAGCCAAAGAGAGAACGAAGAGAGCTGGTGTAGATGTGGCGTAGGCAAAGCACCACCGTGCAAGAATCTGCCGTTTACCGGTAAACCGCGAGCCAAACTTGATACCCAATGTCGAGGTAAGAGAGCGCGAGGATATGTAGACCACATCCATCGAATCGTAACGATTCTCGTCAATGAGCTTTGCATGGCGTTGCTGCATTCTCCATCTTTTGATCTCTAGCCATGCCATTGGTGCGATTGCAGCGATTGCAAGAAGAGACAAAACCACGATGAAGATGATTTTACCCTTGGCAATGAGACGAAACAGCCCATCGAAAAACCCATTTAGGGAGTCGTTGTTTGAGCAAAAGGTCAGCTTTTCTTTTTGAGCTAATGGGAAGACGTCTCGGTTGAATTTGTAATTTCCATAGCTGTCATTGAGGGCCTTTCGGACAAAGTTGAAAGGGATTGCAATCGCCTCCTTGGTCATATTCTGAACCTCATCAAACGTCGGAATATCGTCATTCAGCTTTCTGACGTCTTTGACAAAGTCGTCAGCCTTGATATCAAAGCTCTTGAGCTTGTTGATGGGCTCGGTGAAGTTCACTACGGGAATCTCAGGAAGAATGCTTCCAAATATAGAGTCCTCGATTCCCTTTGTAATATCATTGAGAGTTTTTTCGAGACCGCCTGAAATCGTCTGAATTTCGCCCGTAGCACTGTCGATGATGGTATTGAAGGCCTTGGTAGCATCTTCCGTGACAGAAGCCACCACATCCAACGCGCCGTGAACAAGAGCAGTAAGGAGACAGGTATAGGTGCCTACGAGGAAACTGATGAAGAAATATATCATGGCCTCAACACCTGTCATAAGGAGGTCCAGCATGACAAGCATTGCATCAACGGCTTTCTCTATTCCGGTGGCTGCCATATCATTCACTCCAAGAGACAGGTAATGTGGCATCGATGCCATGGCACTTCCCAAGTCTTCGACCTTGGTACAAGCCGATAAGGCTTTATCCTTCGCATCGTCGACGTTGGAGTTGAGCTGGCCGATAAGGATGACCACTCGAACTAGGACAAGGAGTAGCAGGACCGTCCAGCGATTGATCCATATTTGAGAAAGTCGAGACCGTAGGCCGAGATAAGGGGTGATGTACGGTGAGTTGTTAGCCTTGGCTTTTTGGACCTTTCGGATATCAGATAATTCGAAAGACTCTGATCGTAGAGATCTTGGAACCTCGGGGACTGAGTTATTGGTGTGACCCCGCGAGGTAAATTTGTGGATTCTATCCATATTGGGTGCTTGCGCTTGTTTTTTAATGTAATATTTCAAAGAAATGCGTTTGAAAAGTGTAAAGGGAAAATGGGAGTTGAAACGTCGCTACCAGAGGGACGACAACTTGGGGCAAATATCGAGTATTATTGGGCCGTGACCAGCAGGCTTAGAGGACTTGATGACAATGCTGAAATAATGAGAAGAAGAAGAAGAAGGAGTTCGACCAAGCGAAGGCTCCTAAATTTAAGAAATAAAGAAAGAGACGTGAAAGGAAATAAACAAATAGAAGCTCTAGCAATCCATGGTCCAGGTGAGAGGTTGGGTATGCTGAAGTCAATCACAAAAGAAAGACAATAGAAATGGGAGGGCAACAAAGGCGAACTATAAGCAAACCCCAAAGAATTCTGGATGCGCAATGCCACGCCAACTGAACTGAAACAGTATTCACTGCAAGCAGGGCAGAAGGCCCAATCAATGTGTATGCCTTCATAATTGCTCCAGGTCTCCCAGCCAAAGGCCGGCTACCTGTTCGTCGTGTGTCCAGTGTTCGACTGGTTAAGCGCTCCGCCAAGCCTCCTGCAGCCAGTCAAATCAGTGTGTATGATGGCAACCAGGGGTGGTCAAAACAAGGTCGGCGATAAAACTGGCCCACAAGCAAGCCATTGCGGTTTTCGACATTCAGCGCTTAAAGAATATCCAATGTATTTTGGTATTTTTGCAGTGGTTCCAAAAATGGACACAAACTCTGGGGTTTGCCGGCTGTTGACATTTGGCTCACATGGACCGAAGAGGCCGCTTTGTTCCATTGTTCATTCACCCACAATCACACAATAGAGCCGGCACCTACAAGCCGTAGATAGAGGGGGATCCGAGCCAGTTCCCACAGTCATGAGTCCGAGCTGATCATTCAGCCCCAGGCTCGTCGTGCCTGTACCTGTGCCGGTCGGTGCAGGCGCTTGCGTGAAGCTGGTCTCAGAGTATGTCGGTGGAGGGTCAGCACCAAGAAGCGCAGGCTTGGCAGAATTGATAGGAGCATAGAAGGCCATGTTTAGAAACACGGGCCACCCAGACTCAAGCCGGCCCCAAGCACCTTGGACTCGACTAAGTTTTGAAGCTTCAGATCCAATCAAGGGGCGTGGGGCAGCGAAAGGCGGCTACGCACATCAAGGACGGCAGGTGGGACCCTTGGGCCGCCTTCCTTCCCCACCAATGGCGCCTTGAAGCCGTGAGCCCACCTGCAAACAAGATTATGGATTATGGCTTGCTGGTGACTTTCTACCTTACGTATCGTGATGCAGGTACATACCGACCCAAGCGGACTATTTGCTCACGGCGCACATTGATGTTGCACTCCTCCTGCACGCATCCCAAGACGTATGTTTTCTCACGAGACTTGTATGTGCTGCTTTACCGCCCCTCGTGATGTACTAGATGGTGCATCTGATGCGCTGACGTCACCTGCCTCCCCCACGTCACAACACCCTTGAGAATATCGGGATACTGTACAAGGAACCATCTAGAGAAGACTGTTGGCTTGATAGTAAGGTATGGTGCTGCGAGAACACAAGCTCTTGTTGAAATCGCCATTCTAGCCCTTCTACTGAAGACTAAGGGCTATTTTTATTCTCAGCGCTACAATGGATATTGAAGATGGTGGGTCATGTTTGGCGAAGCGCCTAAGGTACTCTAAGAGTCTAAAATACGTCCCGAACTTACATCATCAGGACCCTTGATAATATTCTTTTTCCCCCCTTTGTATCTATAATAACAAAATCCCAAATGGATAAGTACTTCTTCTCGTCAAAGCACGGCCAGACTGCACCGGTCTGAACAGAAAATTCTCGAAACTTGGTACAGAAGCTTGTAATCATGTCGGAGAAGGCTGCCATGACGCCGTCTATCCCTTCACAATGATGGAAGATTGTCAATAGCAATCTTGGGGTCTGTGGACAGAACACCTGGCGTTTTCCGTGGGGCTTATTGGCGGTCAAATATATGAACGTACTGACAAGTAGGAACTACTCGAGAAGTTATATGGGCCATCTTCTTTGATCTAGCTACAAGAATACACCCGCTCATCAGACTTTCACTCTTTTAGTGACGGAGCTGGCTGGTTTTGGCTGGTTTGATGGATTTATTGCCTGCTTAGCATTTCTATCATTCTTCATACCCATAAACATCTTGAACAGTCCAACATTGTAAAGCCGACGTAAGAAACCCGCGAAAAGAAAGCGAGGAAACAATGACGAGTGCAGAGGGCTCGGTTATGCCAACAACGAACTCGTCGAACGAGCGTTGTCCGCATCTATATTGTGGAGGTACTCCATCCCGATAGAAACCCGGTGCGTCAAACGAGCCAAAGAATTTGTCTTCACTTCGCGCCTCTCGGAGCGGAAAAGGTGGCGTGCGTTCCGCCGTCGGTGAGGAGCTTGCTCACGGACTCGTATAAGATAAATCCTTACAACCATCCCATCAAAGAAAACACAATCGTCCAATAACGCCGGCATCAGTCTTGTCGATCGGAAAGTAGTGAGCGACTCAAGAGGACCCAAATGTGTTCTCTCCAGAGTAGGTGATGTAAAGGAAGCTGTGAAAGAAAGTTAGCAGACGGAACATGGGAAGGGAAGTTTAGAGTCAACACATACCCATCCTCATCCTTGTGCTCTTCGTAGATGCTGCTCATGAGAGCAGCAGTTGGGGGCAAGACCTCATCGACGAAGATGAAGATGGCCTTCTCGGGGGAGAGCTTGATTCGCTTGCGGATAACGTAGACGAACTGGCCTACGGTAAGGTCGGAGGGGACGAGATATTTCTTCTTGTCGATGGTGGCGATATCGCTCTTCTCGACCTTCTCACAAATGACCTATATGATACTTGTTAACAAAACGAGTCCGATGTGGCATCGAGCAGGCCTTCGATCACCAGATAAGCGGGGTGCCAGCCTCGCCGCTCTGGACGACGAGAAGGGCGGCCACAGCGCAAATCGTAGCAGGCACGCGATGGAAATTTACAAATGAAAAGGAAGGCTTACAGGAATGCGATCGGAGTATTTCTGGCAGATGCGCTCGGCCTCAGCCTTGCGCTTCTCGAAGGGGTGCTCGTCCTTAAACTTGCTACGCATGGTGGCGATCGTGTGAAGCTGGCGGTGACGTCGAAAAAAGGCGGTAGGATACTTGCGTCTGTCCGGAGCAAGGAGGTTGTAAAATCGAAAATGTGAGGGTGTGGATGGAGATGTTTAATGGAACAAGGTTCGGGGATGGATGAAATACTACGAGGCACGAAGGCAGCAGGCAGCAGCTGATGCGGCAGAGAAGGGCAACGAAAGGTCGGTGGGAGACTTAGGCAAGTACCTTCATTAATAAGGCGGGTGGTGGCATATCGCAAGCAGCTTGCCGGGCGCCAGATTAGTAACACTGGGTGCTGTGCAGGTACATACTCTACGCCTCTTATTAGGCAGAGGGGACAGACGCGGGGTTCTCACGTTCACGCTAGACCCAGCCCATTCTAAGGCTGATTGATCACAGCACAGTACAGGTGCCTAGGTAGCACTCACGCCCGGATGCAGTTGAGCCTACAGTGCACGTAGCCGCTAATGGGCCGCACTGTGCGCATCAGCCGCCTCGCCAAGTGATCACGGGGGAAAACGAGGCAGAAGGGCCTCTGATGCGATCCATCCGGTGGTGGCGATGAGCGCACGCAGTTCCAGTCCTCGCCAAATGGGGAGGGAGGCCCTCCGATGTGACTCAACGGCCTCGGTGAGGGTCGATGCAGGTAGCTCGTCGTGGAAACATACCTGCAGCTTGGAAATCTTCCGCATGTTCCTGTTCAATGCATCAGCATCACTCTTTCTTCCCTGACCAATTAGTCACGTACGATTACAATACACCTGTGTGCACTTGATGTCTGTGCTAATCATGGTGGTGATGTTTTAAGATCCGCTGTATAGAAGCTGCGGAGAGACGCCTCTGCGTCTGACCTACTCACCTTGTCTCTGCTCACCCTCGTCATTCCGATGGCGGTCACAGTCTCTTTGCCAGCTTTGTACATAGTATCAAAAATCCGTGAGATCAGCAGCCTTCCAACCATTAGCGGGAAATGGGGTTGCCTGATGTTCTCTATCACCTGATATTTGTTCCTTGTCGGGATGTTTGGCTTGGACTTTTCCGGCGCATTTCCAGGCCTACGTCCATTGTTGGTCAGTTTCCTCCCCCAAAGCCAGCGAACTGTCAACTGTCTGGAAGCCGACCCTGGCTGTCCAATAGTAGTCTCCCCGATTCTATCCGCTGCAAATCGTAAGATTTTGTAAGCTCTTGTAAACTTTTTTCACATCACATCCCTTTCCAATTGATTGGGATTCTTGTATATCTACCCATTGCGGTCGCCTTGCCTGGTTCTTTTCCCCTTTGCGTTGCTCATCACTCCCGGCTACCTCTAAGTTGCAGGTGGTGGGGAGAAAATTGTTCATGCTACACCCTCATTAAGCACTGCACCCGTCCCAACCAACAAGCATCATGGCAGCTCGCCGACAAGCCCAACGTCTCACGACCAAGCTTGGCCAGGCCTCTGCACCGCGAGTCATCCGCCAATTGAACGCCACGAGGCAGTTCTGGTCCAGATCTGGAGCTGGCCAGTCTTCCAAGACCTCCTGGAGCTTGATTTATGCTGCAGGAGCTGTTGGCTTCGCCGCCCCTCTGGCTTACTACAATGTTCGTGCTGCTGTGAGCCTGTCGCTAAACCGTGTTGCTGGAGTCTTTCTGACAAGTAGAAAAACAGGCTACCGAGAACGCTGCGAAGCTCGAAGCTACGACCCTCGCCGAGAAGGATGCATTGAAGAAGGCCGAAGCCGGCGTGACCGAGAGCTCCTCCATGCGCCTCAGGATGGAGAAGTTTATCAAGGAACAACAGCAGATTATTGTTCGGGAACTAGAGAGGGTCGATGGCCACAAGTTCCGTCAGGATGAGTGGACACGCCCCAACGGCGGCGGCGGCATCAGCTGCGTTCTTCAAGACGGAAACGTCTTCGAGAAGGCCGGTGTTGGTGTCAGCGTCGTCTACGGCTCCCTTCCCAAGCCTGCTATTGCCAAGATGAGGGCCAACCACAAGTCCATGGACCCCAATGTCGAGTCCCTCGAGTTCTTTGCTGCTGGTCTCAGCATGGTCCTACACCCTCGAAACCCCATGGCACCCACCGTCCATCTCAACTACCGCTACTTCGAGACTGCGAACCCTGATGGAACTTCGCAGGCCTGGTGGTTTGGTGGCGGCAGTGACCTGACGCCCTCTTACCTGTTTGAGGAGGACGCTGTTCATTTCCATCAGACCCTCAAGGATGTCTGTGATAACCACGACAAGGCGTACTACCCTCGCTTCAAGAAGTGGTGCGACGAGTACTTCTACAACAAGCACCGAGGTGAAGGGCGTGGAATTGGCGGCATCTTCTTTGACGATCTCGATGAAGCGGGCCACGACCGCGAGAATACGTTCGCATTCATTCAGGATTGCCTCAAGTCCTTCCTGCCTTCCTACGTCCCTATCATCGAGCGACGTAAGAACATGAACTTCAACGAGAAGGAGAAGGAATGGCAGCAGATCCGACGTGGCAAATACGTCGAGTTCAACCTTGTCCACGATCGTGGCACTGCCTTCGGCCTCAACACGCCTGGATCGCGAGTTGAGAGTATTCTCATGAGTCTGCCGCGCACGGCTGAGTGGAAGTACATGCACGAGCCTGAGCCGAACACTCGAGAGTCGCTCCTCACTGAGATTTTGAGAAACCCCAAAGAATGGGTATGAAGGATGTGTCATGTTCTGGGCACAGGATATTGTACAATATTTGAAGCATGAGCCACTTAGTCCCATGTAGATTCTTTTACATACAGAGAGACACCTCTTGTAGCATATAATAATAAAAAAAGCAGACTTCTATTGGTATCTACAACGTTGTTAAGATCACCCTTGCTCCCTGAGCTCTGGTACGTATTTTGACTTTAGTTGGAACTGCGCCTAGAGAACGCACAACACCAATTTCTCGACTATGCACCCACCCGATAGGACTCACCAATCCAGTACCAAAAGCTCACATTTTTCTCTCTACTCAAAGACATATAACTTTGAAACCAAGGCGTCGAACTATGAGCTATCTGGCCAATGATGCAAAGCCTACCCCGCCACCGCCAGGTTCTCACGGCCCTCATTGATGCCATATCCGCAGCATGCACGGTGGATGAGCAAGAGAGCGACGCTGCCACACAGCCAACAGACAGGCGCCGTCTTTTCCTCACCCTCCATGTACTATTTCCGAACCTTCTCCTCCCAGCCCTAGACCTTATAGATCGCAAACTTGTCACCCTTGTGACTCTACATGGCGCGACGGAGGAGGAGCCAGCATGCTCCGTCATCTTGGTCAAATCGGCCGTGGCTAAACCGATACGACGAGGTCGCCCTCCCGAGCCGCCAAGGAACTACGTCGTGCGTCTCAGTGCATGGAGCTGCAACTGCGCTAGCTTTTCTGTAGACGCATTTCTACCTACATCGAGAGAACAATCTACTTTCGTAGGTGGTGGGGTAAATGACCATAGCGGGGGACTCTTTGGAGGGCTGAGCTCGGATGGTAGTGCAGTTCCTGACCACGTTCCATGCTGCAAACATCTACTCGCCGCCGTATTGGCGGGCCAATGGGGCCATTTGCTCGGTGGTTACATGGAGAGAAGATCTGTCACGAAAGAAGAGCTGGCGGGTCTTCTGGCTAGGATCTGATGGCAAGGCTGCAATATATTTCATAGACAGTTCTTGATAGCTATCGACAGCCTCAGCCGGGGCTGAATTCATTACTCTGGTCCTAACCCCGAAAACCCAACCTGGTCCATGTACAAAGAGCCCTGCGTCCCATCGATGGCAATTACTGTGGCGTAGTGGATGCCCCCCTGGACCTCTGGGGTGGCTGCTTTAATGATCTATTTGGCTAGATAATTCGTCTTTATTTTGTCTTTTCCTTGCTCTCCTTGTCCTTGTCGGCCGTTTCCTTGCTGTCGCCGGTGGCGCCTTCCTTCCTCTCTTCTTTTCCATTCACCTCCTTCTTCGCTTCCTTCTCTTCCTGTTGTTGTCTGTTCTGAATTTTGTTCTCAATGAGATCGTGGAACGCGGTGATGGCGCGTATCAGACTGCTCAGGTAGATAGTCATGAGCTGATCGTTGGTCTTGATGCTCAGAGCATTTGCAAGGTCACCGCTGCCAGACTTGTCACTGCTCTCGGGTGTCGAAAGGTTGGGTAGGAGGTTGAATACATCTTGGAGATTTCCAAGAATAGCATGGTTGACGGGGAGATCGCCGTCAAGGACCTTCTGGAGGTAGGCGCCAATATCACGTAGGCGGAGGTGAAGGCCTTGAAGAGACTGAAGTTGGTTGGTGACTCTGGTAGATAGGGTTCCGACTGCGACATCTCGGATATCTCTTAACAGATGCTCGACGCCGATCTCCTCTGCTTCTTCGGCCTCGATGATCGAGGGGGTATGGACAAAGGTCCTTGAGGTCGTGGTGCCATCCTAAAAAATAGTCAGCTCAGTCAATTCATCTGGAGTTTCTTTTTCTGGGGGGAACAACGAACGTCTTTGATCTCTTCTACCGCGAAGTAAGCGTCTGTCGGCACGCCAGACTCCTTTGGCTGAACATCAATGATGACCAAGAGAGGGTTGGGGTTATAGCGTTTGAAGAGCTCGTTGATCTCTAAGTCGGATGCTCGAAGCTTTGGACCGGAATGGTACCAGCCTATTAACTTCTCTCTGGCGTTGACCTTCTTAAACATGTCGTTCATGGACTCGACATAGTTGTGATCTAAGAACCACACCGAAGGGTCCTTCTCATCCTCCTCGAAAGGAACTGGAGCAAAATTAGGTCAGGTTCCCATGCTGTAAAAAGAGTGGTTGATGACGTACCTGCGAAGCTGTTTGATACTCTCACATTCTTGCCATCGTTCTGCCCAAGAAGTACACCAACTACTCGTTTCGACTTTGCACTGTTATTCTGCTGTATCGTACGATTGTAGTGATCGACGGCAGACAAAAGGACGAGAGGAGCGACAGACACGTTCCGAGTGACGAGAGAGAGCGTTTCCGCCGTTGTAGTAGGCATCTTTGTGGTTTCGCACCAATTCTGGAGCTGTCGGCGCTCAGTAGGCAATCGTTGCAGAATTAAAAAAAAGGAAGGCGGGTATGCCTAATGGGCCGTGTACTATCGGGCTCTAAGGAGAGAACGAAGAGAGAGTGTCGTGTGTTTAGATGCTCGTGGTTGGTAAGGCAGTGGTGGGATCACACGTACTTGAGGTGCTGCCTTGAAGCCCGCCTCGTCAAGCTCCAACAGGTAGAGGGGACCTTGAGCCACACCTCGGGTCACGTGCTCTAGCTAACGCCACATCTATGGAAGGCTATTGTTTGATGCTGCTGACATAAATGAATTCCACGACGATCCGACATCGCTCAGTCCAGGAAATGAAGCTTGTGTAGCCGAGTTGCCCCAAGTTGAGTAATTCAGTGGCATTGTTAGTAAATAACATGCTAGGTTGCTTGCTACAGAAACAAACGAGTAAGGCCGCGCATATTACCACCCTGTTTTGCGTGGTCTCAACAGTGCGAGATGCTGGCGGATAAGTGCAGCGGCGCGGGTACCTTTCTTACTAGCCTAGAATGATCGCGACGTGCAGACGTCCATCGGCTTCCCACTCAAGGCTAATCCGGAATGAGACGCTGGTTGGCTAGAGTTGCGGACAGGCGGAAAAGCGTTGCCTGCGCAATGCCTAGGTAATTCTCCTGTTCCATTAATGCTCTCGGCAAAGCAACGAACCGTCCCTCCCTGCCCTGGCACGGGAGCTGATGTCACGTCGCTTCACATGTAAAAAAGTGCGGCTGGCAGCGATGTACGAGGTACTTTGAATGGGTCAAGCTGGCCAGGGAGGCTCGCCAGCTGCTCACTTAAGCCAACTGAGCAAGACACTCATTTACCAGGAACTGCCGTGCGGCCCACCAACAAGATACAGAGATCCAACATGAATGCTGG